CCTAAGAAAAGATATAAATGTGGTAAACTCAATAGTCCTTTCCACACACACAGAGGAGGAAACTGGAAATATGACAGGAAATATGGCTAGCTTGATATAGATATAATGGAAACCAGATCAAAGAGTCATTCTTTTTACCTTCTGCTCCTCCACCTCATAGCTTCGTGAGTAATTTACCTTCAGAGATTAATATGCACGTTATCTGTTTAAAGGAATCACTTTGTTTAGTAAAAAATTCTTATTTAGTAAGGGGGTGTTAATTTTAGACAACTCTTTGGAATGTGGGATCTTGACTGCCTTGGGGTTTTGAATATCTCTGCCTAAAGAAGCACATACCTTTTTAGCACCACTCCTGAGGCAGTGCAGCTCCAATGCAAAATTCACAGAGGGACACTGCTGGCATCATTTGTCTTCTGAATAGGCTTAGTAGGAGCAGTCCTGCTATGCGTGATAACAGTCTACTACTGAGGGAACAGAGATCTGCTTTTTCTATTCAGACTTCAAGCTGTAGGATTCATAGATGTTAGGGTCAGAAGGGACTTCAATAGATCATCGAGTCCGACCCCCTGCATAGGCAGGAAAGAGTACTGGGTCTAGATGACCCCAGCTAGATGGTTCTTATGGCCATTATTTCTTGTAACCCCCAGGGGTGCCTTGGTGAGTAAAGCCTCACCAATTCCCTTCTGTGCCCCTGTGATGAACTTATAGGCAGCCACAAGGTCGCCTCTCAACCTTCTCTTGTGGAGGCTGAAGAGGTCCAGGTGCCCTAGTCTCTCTTCATAGGGCTTGGCCTGCAAGCCCTTAACCATACGAGTGGCCCTTCTCTGGACCCTCTCCAGGTTATCCACATCCCTCTTGAAGTGCGGCGCCCAAAATTGCACACAGTATTCCAACTGCAGTCTGACCAGCGCCCAATAGAGGGGAAGTATCACCTCCTTGGTTCTGTTCGTTATGCATCTGCTGATGCACGATAAAGTGCCATTAGCTTTTCTGATGACTTCATCACACTGACGATTCATGTTCATCTTGGAGTCCACTAGGACTCCAAGATCCCTTTCTGCTTCCATGCC